AGATATGTATGTACAATGCATATGCATGTTACCACTCTGCACTACTAAATTTGTATACCCGTTACTTGATGAATAAAAATGCATTTATTTGGTAACGTAGAAGGCGATTTATAATTTTACAGTTTTATTATCACTCATAAGAGAAATGGTATATTTTCGTGTAAAGTACAAAGCATACTATTAAATATGTATGTACTTCATAACCTGTAACCTGTAGTAAACAGAAATATGGTATTAAATACAAATTAGCTAGCATTACAGAGCATCTCTGTGTCATGTCTAACCTGTTGGCTTTTGCAGCGCATGTTTTGCAATTTGTTTGCCATTTTCCAAAAGCCAACTTCTGTTGCACATTATGCTAATGACCTGCCGCCGTTCCCTTCGTCGTTTCCCCTCCCGAAACCACTCGACTCTCCGGGTCGAGGTGATTAATCAAAAAGCTCGCAACACTCGCAAAATGGTGCCCCATTGCCAGGTAATGCAATTTGCAATTGCTGGACCCGTAGAAATACATGGACCCACTCTGCAGTTGGTGTCTTGGCCATAGAAATAACCTGGCTCTTTGTTGTCAATTGGCGAAAGGTGTGTCTATTCGTATCTGTATCCCCAGCTGGTATTTCTAACCGAGGTTTTGGTATTTCTTTGGAGCGTGCTGAATATTGCCTGCAGTTAAAATTGTCAGTTACAGCAGCATTGTGTTAGTTACTTAAATATGAAAGATGGTTTTCTAAATTGGAATGCAGTTAATAATATGTTCTGTTACTCAAAAGCTATTGGTTTTTTTTCACTTAAACACTTTTCTTTTAAAGCTGTTTTTGATATATAAGATATAAGAGGAGACTAGTCCATTTTATTAAGACGCATAATATTATCTTTCCTAAACGAATATCACCGAACTCACTTAAGGAAAATTAATGAATGTACTCTTCCCAAATGGCCAACTCAAAGCTAACAAAATTATTTAGGCTAGAATAGCCACCCACAGAAAGGGCTCCTTTGTGTAATGTGGAATGCCTTTGCCCCCAATTAAAGCACCCTACCAACCCCCATTTCTACGGTCTAGTGGGGGTGCCCTTTAAGGGTAAACAGATCTGCCATAAAAAGTGTACCCTCGTCGCTTTCATGTTACGCATAATTGAAACCAACTTCCCATTCAGTGGGCAAACTCCGACGTCAACAACGATATCAACCACCCCCACTGAAAGGGCAAGAGGTCACAAGGGAGGGAAATGAACGGGGGAGTACGTCCTACCCTCAAAGCTTGTGCCCCACAATGCATGTCAATGTCATGAATATTATTGACATGAACTTCCACCCACACAAATCCCTAACTCACAGCAGGACCAATGAGTACGCCATATTCTTTTTAAGGCAGCACATTTCCGCAAAAACAGAAAGGAACAAAAAAAAAAGTTATGGAATAGGAAAAACCTGAAGGTCAACCCCTTTGCCACAGCTCTGAGGGGAGTTTTCTGTGTGGCTGAAGTTGCTTTCGATGGGCTGTCAAAGTCAGAGCCTGATAAAAAATCGATAGGCGAACGGGGAATGGGCAATGGAGCCTAAAGAATAACCCTGCATCTATGTTGGGTGGGTTTTCGGTCAGCAGTCTTGTCGGGCTTTCAGCTTCCCCCCCACACAGAACTGGCTGAACCGAGCTGAACTCGACATTCTGTGTTCCGGAATGTCGTGCTTGGTTATTGAATTGTCACAAAATACTATTGAAGTTCAATTTTGGTTGGGAAATTTGGAGGAATGTGATGTCGATGACAATGAACGCTGACAATTTTTTGATTTTATCGAGTTTGATCGAAATAGAAGCTTCAAGCGTGGAAGTCTCCATACTCTTATTGTATTTATTTTGTTGCTCTGAAACTTCATTTTCCTTTCTAATTACCTGGTTTTTAAGAGATGTCAAATTTGTGGTAGTTTGTGTTGCAACTGTATAGAAATTTCATGTTAACTGCTTGATTTTACTACATTTTTCTAGATCTTTAAATGTACTTCTTGCGAGTGGTGAAATTACAAGTCTTTTGTAGAAGAGATGTACAAAGATATTAGCAGAGCTTTCGATGTTCAGTGCTACGCAATGCCATCCATTCACTTCAATTTGCATGCCATTATTCGGCACCCCCACATAAACAACGAACTCCAACTGTAACAAAACTTCCGCCTGAAAGTGCTCTTAAGTCCTCAGAAACAAAAACAAAACCCGCATCCCCACTCTATGGGTACAGTTCTATCCTCGGAAAACAACAAAAACAACAAGCACAGGAGGAACAACTCCAAAAAACCGGAAACCGAGAAGCCGAAAAGAGAGGCCATCATCGAACCTCGGTTGGTTGCATTTGTCGGGCCTTAAGTGCCCTCAGAACCACAAAACTCCAGGTCCATATGAGTATGTAGGATGGACATTAGGGTGGTCCAAAAATGTAATCATTTTTTCAAGTATTTAAAAACAAAAAAAAATGTTTTAAAATTTAGATATTGTTTAATGGTGTCAAAGTTTCCTTGAATATTAACACGTATGGTTACTACAATTTTATGCAATAAAAAACCATTTCTATGAGTGCTACTCTATTGATCTGTAGAATTTACATTGATGCACATAAGAAATTCCGCGTTATAGTTGGAATGTATACCTAGATTAAAATATATTTTTAGACCAACAGGAACAATGCTTATAAGTGATACTCAAACCCAATGCTCAGATCTTTAAACCTACATACATCTTAAAAAATATTTTTTTTTGCCATCCTAAAAATGAGAGAAGGACCTTAAAAATGTCGTTATTAAAGTGGACCACCCTAATGTACATACATACATACATATGTACATTTTTATGTTGAGTACTTCCCTGAAAGCCAGAATATGAAAATCAGCAAAATCCACATGCTGACCACTCACTCTCTGCCTCCCCCTCTCTCTCTTATCCACCACGCCCCCCTGCCATTGCTCTCTCTCCCTTTTGGTGGCGCACCCACGCAACCTTTGCTGAGAATCAATCTTGTGCCTCTTTCTTTTTTAATATACTCGTACAACCAATTTTGTTTGTTTTCTTTTGTGCCAATTTCTCACGTACACACATGCAAGAGTATTTCTCATTCTTTCTCTAACCCCAAACCAAAAGAAGCTCTCCCGCTCTCTCATTCTATCTCTCTCGGCCCCCTGTTTTGTCTGCCGGCGGCGCATGTGTCCGTACTGCCCTGTGTGTGTGTGTGCTGCTCTGAGTGCGGGTGTGTGTGGGGAGCTGCCTTCGTTGCTGCGTCTTCTTCTTCGTGGTTTGCTTCGCCGCCGTCGTCGTGGTTGTTGTTGTTTTATGCAAGGTCGTTTGCGTACAAAATTCAACATTATTTGAAGGTCGTCCTTTGCTTGTTCTGCGCGTCGCTTCTTACTCGTTCTCGCTCGCTCTCTCTCTCTTTATTCCCGGCTGGCTTTTTCCGATTATCCCTCTCTGTCGCTGTCTCGATTTTGTCTTGGTGCAGTGCGTGGGTTGTGGTCTCCGCTAAGCAAAACGCATTTCCTTCGGGGTCGAATGAGTTCATCTCAAAATTTTGACAGTCCAAGTGATACCTAATACTCACTGCACTGTTGACTTTGTAACTTACAAACCATCGTGGCATGGTGGGGTCTATTTGCAAACTATACATGTTGTACAACTTGAATATAACGATTAAAAAGGAATTGCATTCCACCCGAAGAAACTTAATATATTAAAATTCAAAAACAAAATTTAAGGGAACATCAATAATTGATGGAGAAATCTAAAAATAAAAATATTTAAAGCTTTCAAAATAATTAAGGTTTAAGTGGATCAAATTACTTTTAATTTATATTACTTTGGGTTGTTTTTTACATCAAGGATCAACATCTAACATCAGAAACCAAAAAAAAAAAAATTAAATTCGAAATAGTTTAAGTTACTAAATTTTATAAAAAAAATCGTTTTGTTTTGTTTAACTAAATTCTGCATTTATATTTTTAATTGAAATACATTCCAACATTGTCTTTAAAAATATAACTGTTTTAGTACAAAGTTTTTGCTTAGGAAAGTAACGAATAAAAAAAGCACTGAATTTGACTTAAATGATATCTAATCTTATCATATGAAACCACTTGGTAAAACCAAAAATTTTTCTTAATGGAAACCTCTTACACAACTTCCTATTGACCACTAATGTGTACCATATCTAGCTAGCCTTACGAATGTCCACCGAAAACCGGGGGCGCTGGGTTATTGTACCTTAAATTTATTATAATTCCATCCCATTGGCTTTGTGCCTCTTTCGCTCGGCGGATTGCTTCATTGCTCCCTCTTTCCATCGCAGAGGGTCGATGACATTTTTCGACGCTGGCCATTGCCTATAAGTTGTATATTGCTTAAGCCATTGTTTGTGCTCAGAGCGAGACGGATAGAGGGGAAAGAAAAGAGACGGGGAGCTGTGGGTGAGCGAGACGGAGAGACATTGACCACGGCGGTTGATAAGAACTGAATACATATATGTGAGCGGTTCTTTGAAGCCGGCTCGCGAATGAACTCAATTAGCATAAGTGGTATGGATGGTCGGGCAAGGTCGCTAGGGTGGGTGGCTCTGGTATTGGGTGGCATTGACCTTATTGCTGTTGGCATCCCGCTGTCTTATAATAGGCCTTTGTTCGTGTTGCTAGGCGCTAAGGGTCTGAGAAATTCCATTCCGCTAACGAAGTAAATTGAGTCATTGCCAAAAGGTGCTCGAGAAGCGCTTTCAAAAGAATTGTGGGAGAAGCCCATCTATCAAGAAAATCCCAAGAGCAGGTTTCGAACCAGAACCACACTTTTTATTATAATGGGGGAAGCTTAACAATGCTATAATCCAGGCATACTTTAGCATCTATTAAAGGTAATACACGTCTCAATTCCTAAAAGAGTTTGTTAATAATTTCCGCGTAGGAGGGTCCTTTATGGTACATATTTCTTTCGACCGCAACTAACATTAATTTTTTATCTCATTTGATCTTTCTAGTTTTACAACACAATGGAACTGCATCAACGACACCTCTCCAATTTTTACAAATTGCACAACTGAGAATCAAAAGTCTTTGATAAATAATTAAACCCTAAGAGAAGCGGTGATTGCAGACACCGACTGAAAATCGCAGCTGAAACAAGATGCCCAATATGTCGAGCATCAAGGCGGAGCAGCAGGGTGCTCCCATTGGAGGAGGAACCGGTGGCTATCAACTGCCGGTCAACATGTGCACCAGTTCCGTGGCCACCACGACAACGACAACTTTGGGAGTGGTAGCTACCGGCGGAGCCACTGGATCCCGGCACAATGTGTCTGTGACGAATATCAAGTGTGAGTTGGATGAGCTGCCCACGCCCAACGGAAATCTGGTGCCGGTGATCGCAAACTATGGTCATGGTAGCCTGCGCATTCCCCTCACTGGACAGCCGCCCAGTCACGAGGATTCCGATTCGGAGGAGGAGCTGGCGAACATCGAGAACTTGAAGGTGCGACGAAGGACGGCGGCGGACAAGAATGGACCTCGTCCCATGTCCTGGGAGGGCGAACTGAGCGACGCGGAGGTCAATGGCGGCGGTGAGGAGCTGATGGAAATGGAGCCAACGATCAAGAACGAGGTGGTGGTGGCCAGCGTTGCCACGAACCAGCAGCCTACTTGCGCCCTCCAGCCCATCAAGACAGAACTGGAGAACATTGCCGGCGAGCTGCAGCTGCAGGGGAAGTCCTATCCCATGTCCAACTCCCAGGGACATGGGGCTGCCAAGATGAAGCTGGCGCCGACGCAAAGTGATCCCATCAATCTCAAGTTTGAGCCACCGCTGGGTGACAATTCACCGCTTCTGGCTGCCCGGAGCAAGTCGAGCAGTGGTGGCCACCTGCCCCTGCCAGCGAATCCCAGTCCCGACTCCGCCATACATTCCGTCTACACGCACAGCTCACCATCGCAATCGCCGCTAACGTCGCGCCACGCCCCCTACACTCCCTCGCTGAGCCGCAACAACAGCGATGCCTCGCACAGCAGTTGCTACAGCTACAGCTCCGAGTTCAGTCCCACCCACTCGCCCATCCAGGCGCGGCATGCCCCACCAGCGGGCACCCTGTATGGCAATGGGGGAGTGCATCATCACAGCGTTCTGTACCGGCCACTCAAGGTGGAGGCCTCATCGACTGTGCCATCGAGTGGTCAGGAGGCGCAGAACCTTAGCATGGACTCGACGTCCAGCGGATGTCTAGATGGAGTTGGTTCAGGATCCTCGCATCCCGCCTCGCCGGCTGGCATATCGCGGCAGCAGTTGATCAACTCACCGTGCCCCATCTGCGGTGACAAGATCAGTGGCTTCCACTATGGCATCTTCTCCTGCGAGTCCTGCAAGGGCTTCTTCAAGCGCACCGTCCAGAATCGGAAGAACTATGTTTGCGTGCGCGGAGGTCCCTGCCAGGTGAGCATCTCCACGCGCAAAAAGTGCCCAGCCTGTCGGTTCGAGAAGTGCCTGCAGAAGGGCATGAAACTGGAGGCCATTCGGGAGGATCGAACTCGCGGTGGCCGCTCCACCTACCAGTGCTCCTACACGCTGCCCAACTCGATGCTCAGTCCGCTCCTGAGTCCTGACCAAGCGGCTGCAGCTGCCGCCGCCGCAGCGGTGGCAAGTCAGCAGCAGCAGCAGCAACAACAGCAGCAGCAACAGCGACTGCATCAATTGAATGGCTTTGGAGGCGTACCCATTCCCTGCTCCACTTCCCTGCCAGCCAGTCCTAGTTTGGGCGGAGCTTCCATTAAGTCGGAGGAATCAGGGGAGACGGGCAAGCACAGTCTGCGAACCGGAAGCGTACCACCATTACTGCAGGTAAGATGCGGGATTTTGTCCCAAAGGGAAGTAGAAAATAGCCCCTTAGATTCATTATCTCAAGTGTCCGTTAAAATTTGACGTACAGATAAAGTGCCTGTTGAATAAAGTTCGATTTCTTGAGAGCTAACTGTAACTTGCACTGTTGACTCGATAAAGTGACAGTGTCGGACAGTTACCGATCTCTTAGCTTAACTGTCACTCGAGAAAACGGTATTTAAAGCTATTAAAAAAGAATTTCTTTTAATTAAAAAAAACGGTGGATGCAATAAAGCCCAACAAAATAATGCCTTATTTTTGTTCCTGTATTTTGTACTTATACTTATAGACCGAGTGGGCGTTATTTCACTGGGTGTTATTGCATACACCCGGTTATCCTTTGGTTATTACCCCACTAACATAAATTTCTATCTTCTCATCCAGGAAATCATGGATGTTGAGCATCTGTGGCAGTACACCGATGCCGAGCTGGCCCGCATCAACCAACCGCTATCCGCATTCGCATCCGGCAGCTCATCTTCATCGTCATCGTCAGCCGCATCCTCGGGCGCCCACGCACAACCGCAAATGACAAATCCTTTATTGGCCAGTGCCGGTCTCACGTCGAATGGCGAGAACGCCAACCCCGATCTGATTGCCCATCTGTGCAACGTGGCCGATCATCGCCTGTACAAGATTGTCAAATGGTGCAAGAGTTTGCCGCTCTTCAAGAATATTTCGGTTCGTATGGGGGCTAATATTATCCTTATACCTAAATTTTGTTATACTTTGTCTCAAAACATTCCAGATCGATGACCAGATCTGCTTGCTCATCAATTCGTGGTGCGAACTGTTGCTCTTCTCCTGCTGTTTTCGATCGATTGACACCCCTGGCGAGATTAAAATGTCACAAGGCAGGAAGATAACCCTATCGCAGGCAAAATCAAATGGCTTGCAGGTCAGTTTAACCGATTTTTATCAAATACTGTTATTTAGACTCAAAGAACCTAGAAATTCTACTATTTCTTGATCGTTAATCGATTCGAAATAGCCTTGTCCGTATGTCTGTCCGTAAGACGGATTGTCCGTATAAACGTCGAGATCTTAGACAAGTTTACCAAGCATAGTAATGCCCAGAGTCATGTTTAAAGGGATATAATTGATTCGATGGTAATATCTGTTATATCTATCCAAATCACAATAACATCCAAGCAGTTGGTGAAAAAGTATGGTAAAAACTTATGTTTTTGGCGCGCAAATGAAGTTGATCATGGCGCCATCTGGTGGAGGAATATTTAGCATGAAATTAATTCTTCTTGTTTTACATTTAACCTGGTAACTTTTTCATTATAGACCTGCATTGAACGGATGCTCAACTTGACAGATCACCTGAGGCGATTACGCGTTGATCGCTACGAATATGTTGCCATGAAGGTGATTGTGCTGCTGCAGTCAGGTAAGGGAAATAAATATAAATCAATTCGGAACATGACTAACCAACTGTTAACCCATCAGATACGACGGAGTTACAGGAGGCGGTGAAGGTGCGAGAGTGCCAGGAGAAGGCGCTGCAGAGCCTGCAGGCGTACACCCTGGCCCATTATCCCGACACGCCGTCGAAGTTTGGGGAACTCCTGCTGCGCATTCCCGATCTGCAGCGAACGTGCCAGGTGAGTAATGATCAGGATAAACACCATAAACATTTATAAATAATAAATTTTCTACAGCTGGGCAAGGAGATGCTGACGATCAAGACTCGCGATGGAGCTGATTTCAATTTGCTAATGGAGCTCTTGCGCGGAGAACATTGACAATTGATTACGGAGATGGAGATCTGCTGCCATTGGCAAAACAAGTTTTACATATTTAGTATTAGATACATATATTCTAGATATAGGTTCTCTAACTGTAAGCTCTGAAAACATGTGCCTAAAAACCAAAGCCACGATAGCAGCCACATCAGGCCCACTGGTCGAGATTGAATCTTAGCGCAAGATTGCCAAATTTTTACACCAATATATATTTTGATATAAGCCATGTGCAGGGCCCTAGATTGCTGTTGTTGTCGGCTAAAGTTTCAGTAAAAAAAAAGTATATATTGATTTTGCTATTTATACATATTTGACTTATGTATAGTGTAAACTAAAGCACACATGGAAAATGAAAAGACTAAAAAAATTTATTTAAAAGATTACTTTTACTATTATGAAAGAAGGAAAACGAAAAAGCAGAAAAAAACACTAAGGCGAAGAAGTACATTTAGTTACAGCAGCTAGCAACATTTTTATACTTACCTATATAAGGGAAAAAAATATTCAATGTATTTTTAATGAAATGCCAAAACCGATTTGGTTTGAATGAGAGCTGCTGGAATTTTCGATAATATATCTATATATATATATTCATTATTAGAAGACGGATAATTAAATCCAATTTTTAAATGTTGTAGCATTTAGTTTTAGTGCAATTTCACCCATGTCTACGTATATAAATATATATATTCAGCCAGATATGTCCGAAAACCTTTATACAACAAAAGACCACTCGAAATCGCCATCTCTGGTTGGCCAAGACTATTCCAGTTATGCTGTTTGTTGCATAAAAAAAACACAACTACATACATAAATCAAATTTATCATTTTATGTCAGTTTTAATTTTGTATTAATTTCTTCTTTATAATTATTATTATTGTGTAACTCTTACTTAAATAGCTGAAGCAAATCCTGCAACAGGATTCAAAACACAAATACACAAAACATTATTAAAAGAATAATTTTTGCTTATATCTTAGATAGTTAGATGTGTATCCTGCATATGTGTGTGTCTATATGTGAGTACGTTAACTATAAAACATCCTGCCCCACCAGAAAAATCACACGCAACAAAAAGAAAAACAGATGTAATTCCAAATAAAATTAACTTGTGTCTACAAAAGTTGAAGGCAGAAGTCCAAGAGATCTTGCGCAGAGTTAGGAGTTTTTATTTGTTAAATCATTCAGTTTTAAAATCGCTCATAACCAGCTCATATGATGTCTTCATTGGAATTTCCTGAATTTGCTTGTGTTTTTCAAAGTGTATTGCTTGTATCTGTATTTTCATGAGGATCTCACTTCATAACGATCGTGGTCTTCTGCCCTATCCCGCTTCTGTCCGTCAATGTAAACCTTAAGTAAAATTGAAAATAGTTAAATGTTAATTTAATGAATAAAGCGCCCTAACTAAATATCAATATACAGTTTACCATAGTTAAATAATGATAACCTCCACGCAGTTAATTAAGACCACTCAAATCAAAATTATCTTATAATTTCCTCAGCATTGCAAACGCAAACAAAGAAAACGGCTCATAACCTTACAATAAAAACATTTTTATAATTTTTCGGAATGCATATAAAAATGCAGGTCATTTTCCTACTTAAGTACGTTGCTTAAATAGTTAAAGTAAACTCAAAATTCATAGACCAAAAGTTACGGGTTATGCAATTATCTTTGTTTGTAACGTTTGTGCTTGCTACATACCAACTCATCCCCTAGTAAATATTTAATTTCATTTTGCTTTTAAATAAATGTAATAATTAAAATTCAAACACTAATTGATCAACAATTAAAGTAAATTGTCAATGCAATATTTTGTAATAAAAAATATTTAAAAAATGAAAAATTAGTTTTTAAGTTTGCGCTAAGCAACAAATCGGAACTCCGAAACCTAGTCTACATTCTATTTGAAAGGTATTGGATATTATACCTTATGGACCCCACATGGGGGGACCGCATGGAGATGGACGGCAATAACCGGGGCTAAAAGGGGTATAACATTAATAAATATTTTAAAAGTAAAAAAATGAACATACCCTGAACAATTAGGACAATGGCGGCCTTGTGGATCCATGCAGTTGGCCCCCGTTCCATAGATTCCAGTGGAGTAACAAGGTGAATAGGGGAATGGATTGGGTACAGGTGGAGGACAGCTACCAACCCAGGGATTTGAAGAAAACGGGTCAGGGGGAAAGGCATAATTGACTTCAAATCCGCCTTCCGGATGGGGTCCTATAAAAATCGGTTCAGTGGGAACGGGATATCCACCTCCTATTGGCATGTCCGGAGGGTAGGGATATCTGGGTTCAAATGCGCCGCGCATTGGCATATCCCGGAAACGGCGTCCTCCGTAAAAAGGCTGAGGTCCGTATCCTTGGTTAAACTGACCGGGTATAATCGGCCTGTAATCGGACATATAAACCGATTGGCTGTGCATCATATCGTTGACGTAGCGGCATTCGCGGTTTGGTCTCGGTGGCGGTCGTCGGTGTTGGGTTCTCAGGAATCCGTCGATATCCAGACAATTGAATTCCTCCGGCGGAGGCGGCCCACCATAAGTCCCACTTGATGGAAAGCTGGGGGATCGTAGCCCTATGGAAAAACTGCTCACCGAGCGCGTAACAGTAGTAGTAGTAATACGTTCCGTGATAGTATTGCCGATTTCAGGATCTGGCATTTGAAAACCGCGATCCTCTGAATCTTCGTTCTGCTCAAAGTCATCGGAATCCTCGTCACCCTCAGCGATTTCCTCATTAGAATCCGACAAACATGGATCCTCTTCCGTAATTTCTTGCTGCTCGTCGGAACTGGAATCCGATGGTGTTGTTCTATCTATTGGATCAGGCTGGTGTAAAGCCTGATCTGGCTGCATAGAACTTTGGTCGCAGCAACAATAGGTAACATCTACATCCAGATCAGATGGATTATTCATCTCAGATTCATTATTCATTGTGGAGCTAGATGATTCTAGGTCGGAGAAAGAAATATTTCCTATTTCCGGTTCGGCGAAGGTCACACAGTTCAGCTGGTTAAAATTGACCGGAGCACCTAAAAATAGTTTTTAAATTTGATTGTGTAAGTTACAGAATATTACGTGTTACATTTTATTTTATCATATAATTTTACTTACCGCCGTTGGCCGAGCACTCAGAGGATAAAGAATTCACACTTCGCTTACTCATTTGCCCGGATGAAATGCGAGCACGATGACTAGGTAAAAAATAAACTTAAATTTTTTGTCAAAATTGTAGTAAAACTTTGTTTTCATACTTTTCTAAGTCCGCGGATTGTTGTATACCAGTAGCATCGGACATGTTAGTAACATCTTCTTGGGGTTCGTTCTTTAAAGTTGTCGTGGACGCGGTGTAATGGTAAAGATTATTATTATTAGGATCAACATTGTTATTTTCAATTTTACTATTTTCGGTGTTTTTAACTTTCAGTATAGAAGTGGGTAATTTCTTTAATTTGCTGTCCGACGTTTTAGGTAAATATGTCTTATGTATTTTATCAATGCTCTTGATCTTTTTCAAGGTGAGGCGGTTTTTTTTATTTTCCTCGAGGCTGATGCTAGAACGCTCCATTTCGGATAAAGCCTGAAGGCATACTGAACACGGAACCGAAACAGTAAAACCAATACAAATTTCACTTTGACATTTTGAAAGAATTTTAATATAAGTGCTAACTAGATGTACAAGGGCTCCTGTATAATGATTCAGTATTAACGTTTTCTCTTGCTTACGATAAACCAGGCTACAACAAATTTTAAGGTTATGCGATAAGAAAAGGGTTATGGATCTAATTGCGAAAAGCCCTTACATCTTTTTTCGTTTATTTTCATAGTCCATAATTATTGAGAAGGTTTTCGAAGTATTAGTTCGAGATTAGCGAGAAAACTAATTTTATAAAACAAAAATAAAATAACACCAAGAATGGATCATTTTTGTTATATTTACTTTTATTATATCCTGTAACAGTCATTTTAAAATGGGCGCCCAAGCCATTTGGCAAGTCTAAACGGGCCTTAACGTATAGAGGCTGATTTCCCGCTATAATAATCCCAAAAATAGCCAAAAGTTATTTTGAGAGAAAATAACCTATCGATAAGCCTCCTTTTCTTCTTCTTCGATTTCAAGACATGTTATTTACCCAACCTATCGATAAGCCTTTTCTTCGATTTACGGCTGTTTCAACAGCCGAAAAAGTTTTAAAAAGACAAAACTTCACAAGATGAGTGGGAAGCTGCTGATGAATGCCCTTCGAGCCCTCCGGGTGAGCCACAGCAGCCAGTGGCAAGTTCCGGCGGCCACAATTAGAATCCCAGTTCGTCACTACGGTGAGTTAGGATCAAAGAGACTAGTCGTACCACGCCGAACCATTTCATAACAAGCCGGCCGTCGGTGCGCGGTCTTTCCTCATCTTTCCCACTGCAGCCTCTCCACCCAAGCGATTCTACAAGAAGACTTCCGTGCTAACCGGCGATGGGGGCTACGAGGTGGTGCTGGACCACCGGAAACTAAAGACGCCCAAGGGAGCGCCCTTCGTGGTGCGCAGCGAACCTCTGGCCATTGCGGTGGCCACGGAATTCGACGCCCAGAAGGAGCACATCGAGCGCTCCCGGATGCACTTGTCTGCCCTCTGCTTCACGGCCATCGACAATCCCAATCACCTCTCCAAGCTGGACATGGTCAATTACCTGCTCAACTACATTGCCACCGACACGGTGCTCTACCAATACGATGTGGGTAAACCCTCCTTTGTTTACTTATTCAAATTTACACTCTTATGTAACCCTTGCAGGACGAGAAGGCTCTGCACGATCTGCAGATCAACGAGTGGGATCCGGTGATCGAATGGTTTAACCAGCGGTTCGAGATCAACCTGCAGAAGACCATGAGCATCACGCCGCCTAAGGTCAGCGATGAGGATAAGATGAAGGTCGCCAAGCACTTTCAGTCCTACAGCCTGGAAACTCTGCATGGTAATGCCCAGCCCAAGTCAATTGTAAAACTAGCCCATTTAAAATATCTTCCTTTAGGTTTCATCTTCGCAGTGGACACCTTAAAGTCGATTGTCCTGGCCTGCGCCGTCATCGAGCAAATGCTGACCGTGGAGAAGGCCGTGGCCCTGGCTCGCCTGGAGGAGGAGTACCAGATGAAGTTCTGGGGTCGCGTGGAGTGGGCCCACGATCTAAGTCAACAGGAGCTGCAGGCACGCCTGGCTGCTGCCGTGCTCTTCGTACACTTTAACTGTTCGGAAAACTGTGTTAAACATAAGTCGATTCTTTAAATGCATAATCTTTGTTGAAAATACCAGTTAAAATCGTTGTTCATGCTAGGAAAATCTCTTCCAAAACAAAAAACCATGTGTTTTGGATGAATGTTTCGATTTTACTCGATAGTCTCCTAAGAACCTATTTTATGATTGAAATAATATTTGGGTAGTTTGCTAACTTTGCCAAACAATTTCGAAATCAACAGCACTGGTAAAAATCAGAGTTTTCTATATTTTTGGTTAGTACTGAATGGGAAGTCTACGTTTTACTAGTTTCTTACTCTTGTGTGAGTATATTTTTAGATGCTCTAAAATGAATAGATCGTAACTAAGAAACTAGCATCATTGTCGAATATTCAAAATTCATGCGAGGCGTTTACACTACAGGTGACCCTTTTGAAAGTTTAACGGAAACAGGCAGCAATGTAACCGTTTAAAAAGTAAAAATTGTTTTATTTTATTTTTCTTTATAATTTAAAGTCTTGAAATATTAGCAAAGTAAGAGGGACAATTTTTAGCTTGACAATATTTTTTTAAGTAAATACTGTTAATACCAAAATGTGGCAGAGTTGCCATAGCTTTTTAATAATATAAGGTGAAAACTCTGGTTTCTTAAAAGCCTCGATGTTTAGGAAAATCTCTTTTATTTCCAGGATTGCCGTTTTTATTTTTTAATAATTTACATACAAAATATATGGGGTGGATGGCAAGTATTATCGATCTGTGTCCTAGTCTACCCAAGAAACCAAACCCTAAAAATCTGTTGGTTGGATCGTACCAAATTATTTATTTGTATTACATCGCTGCAAATACAGAATGTAAAAATTTTACCGCAGTTAATTTAAAAAAGTTTTTAAAGTTGTTTGCGGCTGTTGGAAAGGGGTGTTTTATAAGAGTAAAACTGGTATTTTTTGTATCTAGTTTTTGTTACTTGGTATTCTCACACCATTTCGCCAGGGTCATACTGTTTAGCTGTGGTTCGGTCGTGGGTGGCGCATCATCGCGATTCTGCTGCCAATTAAACAAGTGCAAAAATAGTATATTCGCCAGTTGAACCGAGCAAATAAAATAGTGGCCAGCGGCTGGAGTTTGCAAATTTAAACGCGAACAAAGCGAAACGTTGTTGTTGTTGTGTGGCTGTCTCTGGTAAGCAGCGTCGTTCGAGTGCGTGTTTAGTGTTGGTTTGCGTGCCTGTGTGTGTGTGTGAGCCTTTTCACCAGAAAAATGTAAAAAAAAAAACAAGAAAAAAAGTGTTGCCAAAGCAGTGAGGCATACAATTTATACAGTTGCATATTGTTTCAAACGAAAATCGCCAAATGCGAAACGCAGAGCTGAAAAACGAATCTGATCTCGGTGTGCGGGGGGTATTCATCTCGCTCTCTTTTTTTTTTATCCGTCTCACCCTCTCTCTGCTATCACCCTCTGCCTCTCTCTCTTTCCACTGTTCTCGACAAAGTGGAAGTGGAAAAACCAGCGACTACATCAACAAAAGCGTGTGTCTCAAATCTCACAATTGCATCTCGTCATATTTCTCAGTTGCCAAGTTGACTTTTAATTATTGTAAAAACCCCCCGGAAGCTAGGGGAAAAAAACAACAAATGTAGATATTTTCCAAAACACAAACAACTACAATCGCAATCCCGACGTGCGACGCCCTTTGGGGAGCCCTTGCACTGGTATTGGTTGGGCTGCTGTCGTTGTATTGGTGCTGCCACCTTGTTCGATTTTTATGTGATATATCTGTTTTATCGCACACTCTAGTTCTTAATAATTTTTGCGACAAGTGTAAACCGTGTATTTTAAAAATGATTTTCCCTTGTGTCTCCACCGTATAATCAGCAGCTTGCAATCTCAGCGTTGACGCCCACAAAAACAAACACTTTCCGTGTGGGGTTTTCGATTCATAGGTAAGTCCAATTCAGATAATTACAAAGCAAACATACACTAAACCGGGAAAATCTACTATCTTGACGCGTGTTTCACGATACCGCTTTTTCCGAATCCACATTCAGGCATTCTAAGAATTTCTCTATCGAACTTGACGGAACAGTATTTTCGATATCTCAAAACGCTATCTACGTTTATTTTGTTATTTCCGTTTGCAAAACGGTCGAACCACATCCAAAATTTATCTTTGGTAATTTCGGTTACACTCTGGCTTAGGATCTTTCCCCGGAATTTCAGGAAAAAATTATACTCGACGGACCGCGAATTCTTCAGAATTGCCATAAAAAACATGTATGTAGGCTTTTCATTCATTGTCAAAATTATAAGCAGTCCGAATAATGCTTACTGACCAGTTCCTACAACAGCCAAAGTTTTCTTCTACTTAAGAATGTAGGCTGTTTCACCCAGTTTTGTAAAATAAAACAAATACTCTAAAAATGTAAATTACACATTTAATTTAAACAAAAAATAATCGACATGATTCATTTTTTGCAAACAAAAACTGTCATTTAAAGTTATTTTTAAACATGTTTTTGAATTACATTTTGCCAGTATTTATACGATGTGTATTTATTTAGTAGAATGAATTTTTATTTTTAGTTACAAACGTTACAAATTGTTAGCTCATTAAGAGCTGCTTATGTTCGATTTGAAGTCAAGCAAAGCTTCGAATTTAAATATGAGTCTTCTGAAAATAAAATTGCCAGATGTGCTTACTCAATCCAAAAACAAATCCAGCGGGACATTTGCGATGAGGCCACATAATACTCGGTCTTTAGCCTGTAATATATGTTCGCTGAACCAGTTGTCTAAAAATAGCGGAGCATCGGGAACGAAGCTCCGAAAGGCTTCGGCTTTCGGCTGGGCCTTCAGAATTTGGTAGTCGGGCTCCACCCCGCCTTGGGCCTTGGCTGGGCGCATCTGAATCTGAGCTACAAACGGGCAATTCAATTTGTCCGGTGGCAGAATTTCAATTTCGCAGCCAAAACGGCTGTCGAGTGCGAAAAATGTTTGCGATAATCAAATCAAATCAGCGCCAATGAGGTTAAACAGGGGAGGGCAACCCTGAATTGCTCTTCTCGTTCACAAATGACTTCGTCTGCTTCTCTAATGAGGATGCATTCAATTAAATTCAAATTTTTCACTTGCATGTGGGCGCAGAACGAGAAATATGGGTAGTTATGCGGTTTAGGTTATCTATATGTCGCCTACTAGAGCAATAGGAAGTGTTTTAACCCATTTATATTAAACTCGTTGAGGTGATAAGTTGTAATATGCAAGTGATACGGGTAGTCACTATATTACCTTAGGTTTGGAGACTTTAATCACCTACCAAATATAATCGTTTTCAATAGTACTATTTCTAGTTTGGTGATCTGTGAATAAAAATTAATATTTTAGCAATTAAACCTTTTCTGTACTAGTTTTTCGCCGGAAAA